ACTGATAGATAAAGTCCAGTCCCAAATCCCTGACTGATGGTGTGTCTCAAGTAGGGTCTTTCTTCACTGGTCTGGATTAGCTTCCGTCCTTCACTCTCTGTCTGATCTCTAAGTGTTTCTTAATAAATGTTGCTTATCAAAACCTGGTTTCTGTCATGTTACCATAGCATCTGTTTTTCCTTTGTCCACACAAATGGTCTCCAACAACTGAGACATTGACACAAAATATTATTTGAGTTTAACCCATTTGCATCACCAGTAAGGAAATGGTCCAATTTAACTTGACTATTCAAATGGATTAAACTCATACAACTCTGATTGAACGTCATTTGATACTTTTGTCCAGGCAATAAGTCTATCCTTTTGCAAGTTGGATTGCTTCAGGTTAGATTAATTCAGCTGTTTATTTCACTTAAGACAATGACAAGGAAAGTTTCATTACACCAGTCATAACCAGATCGAAACCTAGAGATGAAGAGTTCTAACATTTTCTTATGGAGTCTTCTCAATAGAATTAAAAAACTTGCAAGCTCAGAGATGTATAATTCAATTTCCATGAACATCGTATTGTCCATGAGTCAACCTTCCCTGAGTAGTAGAACAGAAGCAAAGTTGTAGGTTTCAGGGAAATTTCTGGCATCAGTGACAGGTTAAAACATGAAATTTCACACAATACATACAGAAAAATGCACACAGTTCTTTAAGTGTGATTTCCCCAAAGATTAAAATGAGAAATCGTTTAAAAAGATATTTATCCCAGTAAGCAGGGAAAAAACATGAAAGTAATTGAGAAAGTGCATTATGCATGAATTCCAACCAGCCACTGCAGCAACGGTTCATGAACTTGTTGTTATCATTAAGAAATATATGTCCGAATCATAATATGTTGAGGCGTCACAAATTTTCCAAATCTCTTAGTCTGCACTGCATGAGATCAACTAATTTAGAAAGTCATGGGTGGGCCTGATTTTTATCTCACTACACACCTGTGGTTTTTTTGCAATTGCAGCAGACTGGCATCTGAACAATATTTAAATTTGGATGCAGTGCAATTTCAATCTTCTGGACAGATTATGCACATTAGGTGCTCTGGACAGTACAACTGAACATAGAACAATCTAAACAAAATGGAATAACTGGGAGGTATGGGAGTTGGGGGAAATCACTTCAACAGTGTGATAAGAAGACCTGACACTTACATGATAATGTTAGTATAGAGTACCATTGCAAACAACTTCATTGAAGCTTAATTAAAGATGAAGGAGGAGATTAAGTGTTAAAACCTTAAAACTTTTTTTTGTATTCATTCACAGGATGAACCTAGTTCATCATTTGTTGTTCATCCCTAATTGCCCATAATGCAGTTAAGAGTCAAAGATACTGCTCGGCATCTGGAGTCACACATAGGCCAAATCTAGTAAGGACAGCAGATTTCCTTCCCTAAAAGGACATTAGTGAACCAAATGGCTTTTTCCCAGCAATTGACCATGGTTTTAATGGTCATCTTTACATTCGTAATTCCAAATTTCTTCCAAAAAATAAATTCAAAATTCTACCACCTGAACAGGTATAGTGATAGTACCACTAGGCCATAGTCTCCCTAAGGTAGGTGCTAAGTCTTTGTTTTTATTGTCTATGGCAATTTTCAATCAAAGTAAAAGCTACCAATTTCCAGAAAATAATTTTTCCTTTGGCATTCAGGAGATTAATACATAGATGAGTTTGTTCTCCCATAGTACAGTTGCTCAAAGTAAATAAACCTATGCCTGTTGTGATGTAGTCACTTTAATGTCATTAAATATCATAGAATTCTAAAACATGTGCCGTATCTGGTTTAGACATATTTGAAAAAAAAAGGCTAAAATTAAAAGGTTAGGATTCATAAAATTTCAGTGCTGCAAATCAAGACTTTCCTGGCTTTTCAGGGCTATCATTCTACAGTAATTATAACTGAAGTATTAGAGATTCTAAATAGCAAGTTCTAGGATGACGAGTGACAAGCCTTGTCAACTGAAATTGCCTCAGTTCTTTTCATCTCCTTGCCCATTCCTACTTCTGTAACCTGCAAGGCTTCAAGTGCACTTCCAAATCTGGCCTTTGCATTTCCTTGATTTAAATCAGTCCATCATGGGCAACAGAGCCATCACCTGTTGAGGGCCTAAGGTTTGGAATTCTGTCCCTAAAACGCCTCTTGCTTTCTTCCTCTCAAAGAATTCTTGAAACCTTCCACATAGCTTTTGATCATAGGCAGCAGTATCTTCTTATATTGCTTAACCTCAATTTTTATTTGTAATGCTCCTGTTGGAACAGTTAATTATATTAAAAGGTGAAACATAAGTTGTTATGGCTGAGGAACAGGTAAGTTCAGACCCATGGTTCTTAAACCCAGCTGGGAATTTAAACAATGAGGAAAACATAAAGAGACTGCAAAGTTTGCAGTTTGCAAAGAGATGTTGGCAGGTTAAGTGAGTGGGCAACAGAATTGCAGTAGGAATATAACATGAGAAAGTATGAAGCCATTGTGTCATCGGAATAAACAAGCAGATTATTATTAAAAGGCTTGAAACTTGTAAATGTTGAGGGTATTGAGTTTGTTTTAGGGAACAAAGTCTTAACCTACAGGTAGATAATGAGCAATTGGGGATTGAAACACATGAATTATATCTTATTACAATTGTAAAGGGATTTGGGGAAATTGTACTCGGAATGCTGTGAGCCATTTCGGTCTCCACATTTAAGAAAAAATTTACTTGCATTGGAGGCAGCGCAACAAGGGTTCACTGGATTGGTCTCTGGGAATAAGAACAGTTTTCTATGAAAGGCTGTGTAAATTCAGCCTAAAACCAGTGGAGTTTAGAAGAATGAGAAGTAGTTACGTTGAAATATGCAAGATTCTGAAGCGTTTGATAGGGTAGAAAATAGGAGGTGTTTTCCCACCAGGGAAATCCAGAACATAGGGACATAGTCCCAAGGTAACAATGATATTGGACTGAGATGAGGAGGTATTTATGCAGTCAAAGGGTTGTCAATCTTTGGAATTGTCTACCCCAGAGGGGTGTGGAATCATGATCATTAACTATATTTATCTCAGCCTTAATCAGATTTTTGATCTCTCATGGAGTTGAGAAACACAAGAACAGGAAGGAAAGTGGAACTGAAACAGAAGAACAGCCCTAAATGTGTAGTAGCATTCACTACACAGGCTCTATGGTAACAAGTCATACAGTTTACTCAATACCCCGTTTATAGACTCATGGAGGTCTACAGCACAGGAAAAAGTCTTTAAACATCTCCCCATGTCAAATCTGGGTCTGTTGTAGATTAATTCGAAGATCAATAATTATGATCAGTTCACACCTCCTCAGGTCATGTGACTATCTGAACAGTAGTTTAACAAGAATTTACTTGCATTGGTCTTTAATCATGGGTGGGAATTTCTGCAGCCTATTGAATATGGTCACATGGGTTGGAAACAGTTGGAGCCTCCTTTCTTTTCATAAGGGAACAGGTTTTTCCAAATCAGTCACCTAAGTATGAAATAGCAGTTCTGTTAGAGGCTTAAGTGCAATCAATTGCTTAAAGAAAATTAAATATATTTTAAATTCCTGCATAGGTTTTGCAGATAAGCAACACATGTCAGACTACTCCATGTTGTACAAAGTACCTCCCACTCAGCTGCCTAAATTCTGTCCTTACTTCAACTAGTTGTCCTCTACCCCTTACTTCAGACCTTGCATTTTAAAAAATTGAGTCTTCACAGTTTCTCTTCAACAGTTTGTATTCACCACATTTAAATATTGTGTTACAATCAACCAGTTAAAATTTTTTTTCAAGTTTTTCTTTTGTCAAATTCCTCAGGAAAAGTACGACAGAAGTATCCAGGGTCAAAAAAAGAAGCAAGTGTAAATAAAAGAGAAGCTAATGGGATAAAGGGTGAAATGTTTCCAAAGGAAGATTGCTGTAGGTGGCCAATCATCTCACTGACAGGGTTCTCTGCTCTGTGTCCTACTCTAAACTATCTTCAGCAGTTTTAGACCTGTGCTACACTGCACTACTTCATTGTAATGTAATTCCTCAGTTAATGGAACAGTGCATTTTCACATGCGACAAGAGCTAGCCAACATCTGATGAATGGGTAGTAGCATTCACCACACAGGTAACATAATAGCCATCTCCTACACAGCCCAACATTTTGCCCTCACTACTCAATTACATTATCATTGCCACATATCCCATCAGATTAATCACAAATTCAAATCATGCAAGAGACACAAGTGCTATTACTGTTAGAAGTCAGATGCAAAGTGTTGTCTGTATGACTCATTGCCTAACTTCCCAATACCCCCTCACTAAGAGCCTTTTGCATTATGACACAATACTTTCCATTTGCCTGAATGGGTACAGCAGCAAAAACACTCAAATTTGACGCCAGAGAAAAGTCTATTGATTAGTATTGTACACTTTGGCCATCCACTCTCGACACCACTTGCATGGAATGACTGCACTGTGTAATATCTACAGGTGCAGGGTAGCTACCTAGTAAGGAGGTGCATTCGGGCAACATCATGCCCAGTTTCCCCTCCATATCTCACATCATCCTGACTTTATTTTATATGCCTGTTCTTTCACTGCCTCTAAATTAAAATTCTACAACTCTCTACTTGACTGTGTTGTGGGAGTAGCTTCACAAGCTGGACTGCACACCATCAAGAAAGCTCACCACCCACGTCATCACGTTGCCAATGATACGCAGACCCCAAAAAAAATTAAGTATACTTAAGCAGAAACACTCAGATATTGGTAAAAGTTTGATTTATTCAACTTAATACATTCAAAAGTACATTCAATCACTATATATAATAGTAAATTGTCTGATTTCAGAGCACAAACAGTACTAATATATCAAGAGCTGAACTCTTGATATTAAATTTAACTATATTAACAAAGCTGCACTAATTACAGTGACATATCCCATAGTTATTTTATAGTGTGTAAATCACTGAATTCCAATGCCATCAAATTCTGGATTAAAGAAAACAAGACTTATGAAAACATTCAAAATTATCTTTGACAGATATTTACCAAATAATTTTTATTCGCAAGAGCCACATATCCCCTTCATTGTTTTTTACGCAGGGTAAGTGTTAACTGTAGGCAAGATAGCATATGGAAAACATGCTTCCAGAGTTCAGGTAATACTATTCTAAAGTTATAGTCAGTTGAGCTTTGAAGGCAGCTGAATGGCTCATCCTGATTTGTGAACTCCACTCAGCGGTGAGAATACTCTATACCGCCATATGTGGTGTCCTACAAAAACTTCAAAATAACACTTCAATCAATCACAGATAGATAAAACAAAATACATTTCCCATAAATACAGCACCAGTTGGAATGTTTTATATTTAAAGCACATTGGGGAAAAAATGCAACACTTTTAGGCATAGAATTTTGTATAGCTGCTCTGCATCAATTTGCTCCTCTACATTCAAACTAGATGTTATGGCCATCACAACAGTCAATGACACAGAAGTACAAGTGGCATTGAGTCTCTACTTCCACTACCACCAATGTGAATGTAATGATTTACGTAGCCAGAATAGTTCCACTATTAAAAACTGAAAGAACTGCAGATGCTCGAATTCAGAAACAAAACCAGAAATTGCTGGAAAAGCTCAGGTCTAGCAGCAACTGAGGTTCTGAGAAAGGGTCACTGGATGTGAAATATTAACTCTGATTTCTCTCCACAGATGCTGTCAGACCTGCTGAGCTTTTCCATTTTATAGTTCCACAACTGTTAGTAGCCCACGTGTTTATTTGCCTTGTGTGGATTCAGACCCAAGAGTCTGAATTATTCAATAACAAGATATCAGATCTGGCCTGTCCTTGTGCAACAGGAAAATATCACTTTCCTTCCAGCAGATATAATTGAATAAGCCAAAATTAAGCTCTAATCAGATTGCACCCTTTCTCAAAAGCCACAGGATAGGAAATAAATTGTTTCCCTGTTGCTATCTAGGTAGATATCAACTCACGAAATCCCAATCCAATTTGGTTTAATGATCATCCTAGTCTTCATGACTCAGATCACCACTGTGACACTCCACTAGTTACATCCTGAAAACGGCCCCATTATCCCAACTCTGTCTTCTGCTGGTTAGCCAATCTTTTAGCCGTGTTAATGCACTACCTCCAACACAATGAGAGCTTTTGTTAAATCATTTTGTACGTACCTATCAAATGCCTTTTTGGAAATCTAGCACAGTACTGCACTAAATATATCAATTGTCCATTCAGGCCAATTTTATTGGTAAGGAAGTTACCAAACTCTCAAAAAATGGATCGGTCATCTGGAGAAATTGAATTTGCAGCTTGAATATGTTAAAAGCCATTATAGTCCTGCACAGGACTTTTATTTTAAATATGGGTGCCACTGTCTAGCCAAGCATTTATTGTCCATGTCCAATTGCTCTCAATATAGGTGGTGGGGAGTCTCCTCCTTGAAATACTGCAGTCAATGTGGTGTAAAACACACCCACAGTGCAGTTGAGAAGAGATTTTGACCTAGTGACAGTGAAGGTGTAAAGGATACATAGGTCCAAGATGGTATATGGAATGGTGACAAGTTTGCACATGGTGGTATTCTCATGTGTTTGCTGCCCTTGTCCTTCTAGGTTCATCCAGAACCATATCATCCAGATAAAAGCATTAGGTCAGCTGGCCACAAATTGTGTTATCTGTAAAAGATCCATAAAGAATCCTTGAAGACAGAAAATTGAGACTAATATTGGTGTAGAAATTGCTGTCAAAATTAAGATGTCTTCATAACTTATGGATAAACAATACAGCAATGTTATAGGGAGTTAAACATGAATGTCCAAAAGTTGCTACCCAAGTTAGCTATAGCTTCACAAAGAACAGAAATAAGATTTGCCCCTAGCCAACCCATATGGTTTTGAAAAGGAACTTGTTGCCCTTGTCCACTATTAAGCTCACCACACAATTTTAATTCTAGTCATTAGTTGCAGAGATGAGCTCTTTTCTTCATATGCACTACTAACTGTAGGAGATAAGCAATGTGAAAAGTGGTAAGATTCGGGAAGCTGACAGTTCCACGGAGTTTACACATTCTAGCCACACTGCTGATTGTTATACATGGACCTACCTAAAAGGGATGGGGCTTGTTTTTTTAATAAGCCCCTCAAACAGTTCTGGGGTCACAGTTAATTGAAAAATAACAGACAAAGACGGTGGCAAGCTCCATATGGAAATAAAGTGCTGAAACAGCATATTTGGGCCACAGATTCTGTATAGTCAGAATTCAGGAAGAAGTATGGGTAGTCAGAAGATGCATAACTAATAGTATAGTTAAGACAGAGTTAGAAGTTGACGGCAGTTGAATAGCTGTGTGAAGTCAAAATTGAGGAAAATATCCTAGGAATCAGTAGGCACAGCTTAGGGTTGGTGTTAAAGTTCAGAAAAAATCTGGAGGGGCTTGGAAGATATTGTGCATCGTTAATAGCTAGTGAAGACGAAGGAAATAAACGAGCAATATTTGCTTTAACCAACTGAACAAGATTAGAATTCAGGAAAAAAATTTGGGCAATTCTAGTTTGGTGAAGCTGGAGTTGTGAATGAATAAGTGCTGGGGCATAGATTCCAGAATTCCATAGACACAGGAAAGGAAAGTGAACCAACAGCCTGTAAGCAATCATTAGGGCAGTCCATGACTGAGTAGCTCTTTGGGGGTGTAATTTCAAGGCCAGGTCATCAAAAGTGAGGAACTATAATCCCTTGTGAAGCTTTAATAAGATCTGCTGACCCAGTGTCGGTAGCATCTGGAGAGGAATGTGGGGAAATCTATGGGATTGGTCTCAATCCCAGTTGTTGCTCACTGTGTTCTGTAGGGTGTTCAAACAAAGATTGTCTATGACCCATATTTGCCTCATGTTAATTTTGAGATGTTAGAATGCAGATTATACATAGCAAAGATGCAAAAAGATAGTAAGTTTTTCATAATAAACACGTTGACTTTTGTTGACTAAAAGAAAAAAAAGGCTGACTTATTCCCAATGCTAACCCTAATGCAGTCTAAGACCTATATGATTGGCCATATCATCTAGATTAAACTTCAACATCATTGTGACCAGTACAGGAGTGAGACTTGAAAGTAATTGGTGCACCCCTCCAACCTCCCTTGTAACAATTTGCAAGTAAAATCATTACATGCGCTGGTATCACTCTGTTTTCTGTGTTAATAACTAGAAATGAACCTCCCTAGAGGTGCATATTTATTATAAGCATATATGGTACTGAATTCACTTTTTATATCATCTCTCTAAGTTCTTATTTCCCAATATGTAAAACTCTTTAGTTGAGAAGATACTGTGTTGTCTTCTCTTGTTCATTCAGGTCCTAGGTACCATGCTAATTTGCTGCAATGTTACAGGCAAAAAAAAGCAGCTTTTGAGCTGAAGGTTCTTGAGACAAGTTTAACTAATGGCAGATACTGTTAGACGTACTCTACTGCAGATTAGTCCTATCTACACACGTAGAAGTATGCAATAATGAGAGATAAGTGTACACAGTGCTAGCGCTCGTTATTTTTTAATACTGTGTGCATTTTTGCCATAAAAGGAAATAAAAGATATTTGAATCTGAGCAGAAAAACAAAACCAAATGTGTAAGTAGGCAGGAAAAAGAGGAAGGTTGCTTTTCCTTGAAAATAATTTATTTTAAATGATTTCTAAACGTAGATGAGAGTAGTTTCTAAAATAAAGTTTTACCATGAGAATTGTTAAGTTTGACACCAATTTTTTTGGTGGTTTTCATAGTTTTTTGTAAAGATACTCTTATGCAAATAAAACCACAAGTGTGCTTTTAAGTAGATTTATGGCTTTCAGTGTAATATCCTGTTCTATTAGGTTCGACAAAAGCTGAAAAATAATCACAGCAGTTCACATTGTGACCATAAGAAATTACAATTCCCATCACATTTATGGTTTGATATGGAGCCAGCCATTAATACCTGCCAGCAATTGTTATCCAGTTCCATTCCCATAGATATTAATACAGGCACTTTGTCCTGTATTAAATATTCATCTATTTGGGCAAACTTGGCTGTTCAAAAAGTTGTTTGTACCTACTTGAGAACATAAGAACAGGGATAGGTCACTGAGCATCATGAGCCTGCTTGATTAGTCAACAAATCATGGATGATCTTATACCTCAGACTGACCATCCTACACTATCCCCATATCCTTCAATTCCCTCAAGATCCAAAAATAATCTATTAATATTATTCATGAACATATTCAATTACTGAGCATTCAGTGTCCTCTAGGGTAAAAGAATTCTTAACATTCACATCTCTGAGTAAAGAAATTTCTTATCTCAGTCTTAGTCTGAGACCAACAGTCTACAGTTTATGTTGCAGATTCTAGCTTCTCCAACCACAGAAAACAACCTCCCAACATTCAAGCTTTCTTCACAGGACAACCTATAGGAATGAACTCAGTGAACATTATGCATTCCCGTTGAGGCAAGTTCATCTTTCACTTAGCAAACAGACCCGAACCATACACGTTATGCTGGATATGGCCTCACAAAGATTTTTTACAGAATTGCAGTAAGACTCCCTTACTTTCATATTCTAACTTCTTCATAGTAAAGGCTCACGTCATACATTTACCCAATCATTTCCTGCACTTGCTCAACTTTGATGTATATACAAGGACACATAGATCCCTTTGAACGTGAATATTTTGCTGTCTCTCATCATGATTACTTTAGCAATTTAATCCTCATCATTAGTGTCAGATGACAGGCAGCACTGGCAACATCAGTAAACAAGACTAGAGAGAGAAACTTCATGAAGATCGAGCTCTGAAACGAGATGTTAGGTTAATGTTTCAGAAATGCTACTTGTTTGATGTTACACGTCATTTAGCAAGTAAGTCACGTATACAACAAATGTACTTGATATGCATCAAGCTGAGCAAATCTTGAAATAAACATCATTTGTTGTGGCCACAATCTTATCATTTTTCAATTATACAAAGTTATTGTTTTTTGACTGCATTCCAGACATTTGAAATATTTTGAAGAAATGAATTTCTATGATGGACTGAAAACTGGTTATCCTTAGCCACAAAAAAAAATGCCATGTAATTAGCAAAAGTTTGTTTTATGATATTATTCCAGCAATATCAAGCTGAGATTATATAGATTTCTGAATGATAGTCGGAAGTTCACCAACTGGAGGAGGATTGTATTTTTCCAGTCGCATCAGTCGTCGTAGAATATCCTGAGTTTGCATTGGCCAACGGTAGATGTGTGTATTTTGTAGCCATGAAGGAACATGTTTCTGAACAAATAAAAACCCATTTTTAATTTAAAAAGTAAGCATCTGCAATTTGTTCAAAATGCCAGATGTCATGCTGTTAATAAGATGATCATGCTGTTTATTACAACTAGATGAATCACTGATTATAATTTATGCAGCTCTCATAAATTTACTTCAATGTAGTTCTTAATTTAGAGTATCAATGTACTCTGGACTGGTCCCAATTAGTTCAACAAGATTCTATTAGGGTTTTATGAACGATGGTGTGCCTAGACTTTACTGAAATTGAACAGATGTGGAATGCAAGTTTATCTATTTATTAATTTGAGTAATCAATACAGTATCAGACTACAGGTTTAACCTCTTAACGTACATTCAACATTCCTTGGACCTTCAACTGCGATCTTATTTATATCCTACCTCTGCACAATTGTTCCTAAACCCATACATTTGTCTAATCAATGCTTCAAGTTTATTCTAAATGGTTCTCAATTCAATTTCATCCAACATGTATTTTCATCTGTCCTCCATTAACAGCCAGGCTATGTCTACTCCAATCTTCACCATATCTATACAACTCCAATTCTGCGTCCATTCATATATGTATTTTGGTTTCCACTTAGGCACACTCCTTTTAGTTCTCTTTTACTCTTTATTTTTCCTCTTCTTGAGATCTCCTGTCTTCTTTGCTTTTACCCAGTCATCCTTCTGTTCCCCATCATGAAGACTTTTCTACCTTCCTAAGAGTAGGCTGGTCTTGAATACACTTGCAACTTACCCACCCCTCTGTTTTGTTAGCATTCTCCAAAAAGGTCAATCTACCCATTTGAGACGTTTCCTTTGAAAAGCAATACAACTATCCATCCTCTAAAGTACCAGTTAAGGGTTAATCTCATTAACCTTTTATATCCTAATCATTACACCCACTACTGCTTCTGAATCTCCCCACAACTCAATCATTGGGTTTCCCACATTTCCCTCCAGAGAGGGAATTTACTCAAGGATGGCCTTACCCACCAATCTTGTTCTGAATGATTGAACTGGCACCCTGGCATTGACTAATAATTTGCTTATTGTTGACCATTCCATTAATTTTTTTAAAAAATAATTCCTGGGATGTGAGCACCACTGGTGGGGTCAGCATTTATCATCCAGAGGGCGGTTAAGAATCAACTACATTGCTGTGGGTCTGAAGTTATATGTTAGCTAGATCGGGTAAACTTGGCAGATTTCATTCCCTACTGGAGAAGGATGAGCCACATGGGTTTTTTATGATAATCAGCAATGGTTACACAGTCAGCACTAGGTTATCTTTTCTAGATTGAATGCAAATTTCTCCATCTGGAACAGTGGATTTGAATCCTTCTCCTCAGAGTATTATCCAGAGGTTCTAGATTACTGGTTCAGTGACATTACCACTATGCCAATAATGCCCTTCGACCAAGCTATTTGATACTACCCGTCCTGGCCAAACCATTGTGTGACATTATGGCCCGAATTCCCAAGTCAGGCCTCCATTCTATTCAATACTCCTCTGGCATCTGTTTCTCTTTCGAACATCTCTTACTCACATCTCCTTCGAAATCTAATAATCCATTCCGCCCTCAGCCTCTGCAATGAATTGCAATAATTTCAAGCCACCTTGTCGTCCTCTCCAATTTCACTTTCCTCCCTTCATATAATCTTTGACCCCTAATTAAAGCTGCTGCTGCAAACATGCAGCCTCTCGACTATATGCTCAGTCACAGCAAACAGAAGCTTATATTGCATAATCAAATGATTAAACATCTAAATTGCTAAATTTGTCAGTGATAAGTTGCTAATAATACACAAATACACTGGTAACAATCTGTAATCATTTAAGTATTTACTCAAAACCGCTGCAGTGAAAACTAAAAGCTTGGAAAAAAATGATGTTTCATTTTCTACATTATTTTGCAGTTTATATAGTCTCCAATTTACTTTCAGCACAGAATAGTGTCAACATTAATGGCTGTATAACTTTCAGACAATTATCACCTTATCAACCACATCCTAAACCAGCAAAAAAATTGAAAATGTAATCAATGCTGCTAATTAGCAGCACCTATTGTCAATAACCTGTTTGCGATTGCTGCTTAGCTCCTGATCTCATCAGAACTTTGATCAAATCACAATTGAGACATGAATGCTGGAGCAGAAACAAGAATTGCTATCCTTGACAAAGACATTTGATATGGAGCTCGAGCTAAACTTGGGTCAATGGGAAAATGCTGCAGTAAAAACTGCAGTTCAATCAGTCCATGCGGAAAATAATCCCAAACTAAACTAGGCTCGCCTGCCAGCTCACGTCCACATCCCTCCAAATATTTCTTATTCACACACTTATCCAAATGTCTTTTAAACATTGTAATTGTACCCACATCCACCACTTCCTCAGGAGGTTCATTCTATGCAGAAACCACCCTCTTAAAAAAGTCTTTTTTAAAAAACTCTCTCCTCTCACCTTAATAATGTGCCTCTAGTCTTGAAGTCCCCCTCCTAAAGAGAAGACAACTACCACTAACCCTATCTATAACTCTCATGATTTTATAAATTTCTCTAATGTCACCTCTCAACCTCCTACACTCCAGTGCAAAGTGTCCCAGTCCCAGGAGGTTATGTAAGACTACAAAGAGATCTTGATCAATTGGGTCAATGGGCTGAAGAGTGGCAAATGGAGTTTAATTTGGATAAATGCCAGGTAAAACAAAGACATGCGTGGAATGAACTTCCAGAGGAAGCAATGAATGTGGGCACAGTTACAACATTTAAAAGACATCTAGATAAGTACACGAATAGGAAAGGTTTGGAGGGATAGGAGACAAGCGTAGGCAGATGGGACTAGTTTAATTTGGGATTATGGTCAGCATGGACTGTTTGGACCAAAGGGACTGCTTCCGTGCTGTATGACTCTACTCGACCACTCCTTATAATTCAAACCTTCCACGCCCAGCAACATTTTCGTGAATCTCTTCTGAACCCTTTCCTGTTTAATATCCTTCCTAAAACTGGACAACCAGAATTGGTCACAGTATTTCCAGAAGAGGCCGCACCAATGTCCTGTACAACCTCAACATCACTTCCTAACTCCTATACTCAAAGGTCTAAGCAATGAAGGCAAGCATGCCAAGCACCTTTTTAACCATCGGTCTATATGTGATGCGGACTTCAAAGAATTGTGTATCTGAACACCTAGGTCACTCTGTTGAACAATAGTACCTAAGGCTCTACAATATTTGTTGCACCCAAATCCAAATCTTGCATTTATCCAGATTGAACTCCATCTGCCATTTTTTAGCCCATTGATCATTTGATCAAGATCCCTTTGTAATCTTAAAAAAAAACTTTCTTCACTGTCTATTATGACAAAGGCAGATAACTGTGATTCTTGGAAGTCAATCATTACAAACTCTTTAACAGAATCTTTTAAATGAACCATCTTTGCCAATTCAATAGTCTTCAGGAGCAGACAGACATGATTTTGCTTGGAAATTGAAAAGCTACTTCCCAAGAGGCATCACATCTCAAATGCATTACCCTCATCAATACTCCTGGTTATCTCCTTAAATAAAAATCACAATCAAATTTGTCAAACACTGCCTTCCCTCAACAAATCATGATAGCTATCTCTGATTAATCCATGTCTTTCCAATACATTCTGTCTCCCATAATTCTTTTTAATAATTTCCCCACCACTGAGGTTAGACAGGACAGTAATTTCCTGGTCTTTCCCTTCCTCCATTTTTTGAAATAACGGTACAACATTAGCTGTCCTCCAATCCTCTCGCACCTCTCATGTGGCCAGAGAAGATGTCTGCCAGAAGAATTACTGCCAGTGCCCCGATATCTCATTTACCTCTCTCGGTAGTCTTGGATACATCACATCAGCAATATTATCCACTTTTAAGGCTTATAAAACCCCCAAACTTCTCACCCTCTCAATTTCTTCCAATATTTCAAAGCCCTCCACCTTGATGTCTATACCAGTATTGTCCTTTTCCATTATGAAGATCGACGCCAAATATTCATCGAGGACTGTGCCCACATCTTTTGCGTTCACGTACAGATTACCTCAATGGGGCCTATTCTTTCCATAGCAATTCTCTTGTTTCCTATGTATTAGGAAGTTTTCTTAAGGTTTACCTTTATTCTACCTACCAATGCTTTCTCACGCACTCTTTGCTTTTCTATTTTCCTTCTGAGGTCCCCCGTAGACGGTTTATACTTCTCTAGGGATGATGCTGCATTGAGCCCTCGGTATCCACTATAATTGTTCCTTTCTTTTAATCCTAACCTTAATGCATCTTATATGCCTAATATCCAGGCTTCTTCAGTCTTGTCTTTATGAAATGTAGATATAATTAGAATATAGCCTTTTACTCTCACCATGTCCTCCTTCAATACCTCCCAATGTTCTGACACAGTTTTATCCTCAAGTAGCTGCTCCCAGTCCACTTGGGCCAAATCATACGTTGCCTTACTAAAATTAGCCTTTGCCCAGTTTAAAATATTCATTCTTGACCCATCCTTATCCTTCTCCATAACTATCCTAGATCGAACTGAGTTATGGTCACAATCTCCAAAATGCTCCACAACTTATGTGCTTTCTACTTGCCTGGGCTCATCTCTGATTACTGCGTCCAGAACAGCCCCTTTCTTCCGCCATCTGCAATCCGACCCCACCACCAAAGACATTTTTCCCTCCCCATCCTTATCTGCTTTCCGGAGGGACCACTCTCTCCATGACTCCCTTGTCCACTCCACACTCGCCTCCAGCCCCACCACACCCGGCACTTTTCCCTGCAACCGCAGAAAGTGCTACACTTGCCCCCACACCTCCTCCCTCATCCCCATCCCAGGCCCCAAGAAGACTCTCCACATCAAGCAGATGTTCACCTGCACATCTGCTAATGTGGTATACTGCATCCGTTGTACCCGTTGTGGCCT